TTAGAAAACGTCATCAGAGAGGATTATGTTGCCACAACACTCTGAATTCTTAGTTTTCTTTTAGAGACTAAAAGTTAAAACAGACCAGATATCTGTTTTCCTTTTTCATGATATTGTGATTCATTATTCTTAAGAGTGAAATTGAGACTGAAGTCACACATGACCTGTGTGGAATCTCTTTTACCCAAGCATCAAAATATCATCTTTCCCTCTGCTTCATGATGCTAGCATCCTATCAATAGCAATTTCCCTACCGGAGGATATAGATTCATGCTTTCAGGCTGGAGTGTAGAGGGAAATAAAAAACAAAAGCCCAACTGGGTTTGGGGTGTTTTTCAGGCTGCTAGTATATTTTATAAGGGGGTAAATAAGTCTCTTTACTAGTGCTAATCTCCCAGAGAGATGAAGGATAATACAAAAGGAAAGAAAAAAATTTCTGAAAATATCTGTCAATTTTTTTTCTGTTCTAGACATTCATCATTTAGACATTAAAAGGTCTGTGAATTTCAGGATGGAAGAACTGAGTTTTAGGAGGGAGGGATGTGCTAGTATGTGCTTTTTGCAGAAAAGGGCGTATTGTTCAGTCAGACTCCCAGAGAGTCTGAGGGGCTATGGTGCATTGTATAAATGGTTCTGCAGCCAGGAGGGCACAGGAATCACCATATGAACAGGTACAGTCTTCCAGAATGTCTTTTTCCAGAAAGCCCAGAAGATGAAGAGACAAAATCCAAGCAAACTGGTCTTCCCCAGAATTCCCAAAGCTTGAAAGGGTGAGGTTCCCACTGCATGTGATAAGAACTTATGTATTTGCCGTATATGGTGAATTCTGGTTTATCACACTACGTTCAAACTCAAAGCCAATCAGATTATTCCTGGGAACACACCTCACCATTATCCCCAAAACCACAGGATTATGGATTTCAGGACAGGGAGGAGCTCAAGCAGTGTGCCTAAGATCAATAGAAATTTCTTAAGGGTTTATAGAAATTTCAATTCCATCATCTATTTTGATCTTCCAAACAGTTAAGGCAAACAAGAACCTGATTAAGCCACCAACTCCAGGATTCTGGAGGAGAAAAGGCTGGACAGTGACTCACAGATAAAGAAGCATAAGGCTGATAGCCAGGAGGACCCAGGTCTCTATGGAAGAATTCAGGGTCAGATTCTTCACCACTTTCCTTTATCAGTTTTGAATTCTGTATTTTTCTTTCAGCTATGTGGGCTGCCCTTTGCAGAACTGTGCCTGCAGAGTGTCCCTTCTGTGACAAATTATGATTAAGTGAGGCCGGTTTTTGTGCTGGGAAAGAAAGTGAGACCAGAGATGAAGCCAGTAGAAAGACCGCCTTTCCATCTCCTAGAATTGGAGGAGTCAAGTGTCCTCTTTGCAGTTGGCAAAGAATCATACACTCTCCTACTTTGACCTTTGTTTGAAAACAGGGACTTAAAGATACTTCCTTGGGTAAAGACATTGACTCTGGGGCCTGCAGCTGTACAATGAGTAAATAAAACAGGTTAAAGCTTGGCATTCTGCCTTCATTCAGTATCCTTTACTAACTTAACATTTGTGACTGCTCAAGTCTGCACATAGACAAGTTAATAATTTAAGGAGTGCTCATATAAAAACTAGCAATGGATTACAAATATATCTAATCTATCTTATCCTCCTAGAAGATTGAGGAAAGATTGAAAGGACATTCAACTATCAGCTTTTATAAAAATATTCTTTTTAGTTGTAGATGAACAAAACACTTTTGTTTAATTTATTTATTTTAATGTAGTGCTGAGAGTCAGGCCCATTGCCTCACACATGCCAGTCAAGTGATCTACCATTGAGCCACAGTCCCAGCTCCTCAAGGGTCAGCTTTTACAGTATCTTATTTCAGAACCCCAGAGTGGTTCCCAGAAGTCTTCAGTCATTATTTATTTCCTTCCAGGAAAGGCAGAGCCTTTAGACAGATAAACACACGAATTTATTCCCTCAACAGGAGCAATCATCTCATGGGACCTACACTGCCCCTATTAGGATTCCAGGTCTGGTAGATAAACATCTTGAACAATAAATAAAATTTATTCCTTTCAAGTGATAAGGACTTCTCAGGAGCCATCTAACAGTGCTAGAAGTGAGATAGTGATCCTTCAGACCTCAGTTTGGACAAACTGCTTAACAATGCATACCTCTTCCCCACTGTCCCAATTCTGTTTCTATTTAAACCTTCAGGTCATGCCAGCACCCGAAAGGCATGACCTAAAACATGGATCCCCTGTCTTTCTGGTGTGGCTGCACTGACTAAAGTTCTTTTCTCAATTTTTGCAACTACTCTTTGGATTTTTGGCGGTGGGGCAGAGGGTGGTGAGTGGCCAGACCTGGATTTTGAAACAGGCATGAGACTCCTGTAATTATTTCAATTCTTATTTTGTAGTAAATCAATAAATCAGTGTGTAATCAATAATGCTAAAGGTTATGTGATATTATGAGAAACTCAAGTGAAGCCACAGGCATTAATCTCCTGCTGCTGTCTTTGTTGTTGTTGTTGTTGTTGCTGTTTTTGTTGTTAGTTATAAGTGGACACAATATCATTGTTTTATTTTTCTGTGATGCTGAGGATCAAACCCAGTGTCTCACACATGGTAGATGAGTGTTCTACCTCTGAGCACAACCCAGTCCCATAGCTGATGTATTTACAAAACATGAGACTTTTGTCAACACAAGTTCCGTCCATATATCTTTGCCCACACAGGTTCCTCTACCTAGAATATTTCTGTGCCTCATAAAAGACTCCTGCTGAGCCAGCTCTTATAGCACCTATTTTGGTAGAGTCTTTCCTAGCTAATCTCAAAGAGTAGGACAATTTATTCCTTTCCTGAAATCCTCAAGATTATGTAGGCTGAGGCAGGAGGATCATGAGTTCAAAACCAGCTTCAGAAACTCAGTGAGACCCTGAGCATCCTAGCTAAAACTTGTATCAATAAATATATATCATATAACATATATAATATATATATGGAAGAATAGTAGAAAGAATTGGTCATTACCCTTTGTGCATATATGGTTACATGACTGGTATATGTCTACATAATGTACAAGCAGAAGAATAAGAAGTTTTACTCCATTTTTGTATAATGTGTCAAAATGCATTCTACTGTCATGTATAAATAATTAGAACAAATAGTAAAGTATTGGGGATGTGGCTCTGGATTCAATCCCCAGTACCTGAATAAATAAATAATAAAATAAATGGATAAAGGCTGCACAATTAGGAGTTGAAGATGGACTAAAAATATGTTTCTTGCTTTCTAGAATCAACAAGAGAGATAAAAATGAGAGAATTAAATATAAGCTAGAGACATAGTAATAACTACACCTCAGTAATTTGTTACAAATTTTGTACTTCAAAAATGGCAGAAGGACACTATGAATATACTTTCCCAGTAATGGGAAAATCCACACTGGGTTAATTTTATCTATCTTACTATTTATTTTGAATTCCTGAAAAAGCTCCATGTATTCACTGATTGTGATGATCAAAAGATTTAGTTTTGACTCTCACTGATTCAGTACTATATATCCCCTTAAATGGGCATAGAGGCTTCAGATAAACTTCTACAAGGATATGTTTATTGATTTTCTCATTATAAAACTTATCACAGCATATTTCAAAGAACACATCATATATCAATGTCACTACAAAAGCCACCACAAACACCCTCATTTTCATTAAAAATTGTTGACAAATTTGGTGATAATTGTTGATTCTCTGATTAGAGCTCAGGAGGAGCTGCCAGGACTAAGTGGTGGTGAGATGAGAGAGACCATTAGACCCAGAAAAGGTGAATATTCACGTCTGGCACTGAGGTGGTCAACTTCTTTCCATCAGAAAATAGATAATACTCTGCACAGACCCTGAGCAAGATCAGCAAAGGTCCAGCATCTCTTATCATTCATAAATTGAGGAATATAGAGTCTATCTTCATTTTGAGTTTTCATCACAAAATAAATTTTTGTTCTCTGATGTTCTGGGTCCCAGGCTCTGAGGACAACAATGGACAAATCCTTAGGGAAGTTCAGGCTCCACTTATTGTCCCATCTCTGCATACAGCCTTCAGAATAATGGGCTTTTCAGGTTGAAGAAGTCCTTGATCGGCTAATTTCAGGGGAATCTGAAACATTTTGACAAGCACATGGAGAAGCACTGAATGAAACACCAAGAACCAAAGCAGCAAAGTCGAGAAGATATATGAAGCCCAGTGATGCTCCACAAACATAAAACTACTTTTAGTATCATGTACTTTGAATTCATCCTACTCATTCTCTAAGGTGGGTCATGATTAAATAGTAAAATTATTCATTTATCTGAAAAAATATTTCATAAACATTTATCCTGTACAAGGCCTGAGACAGGGAGGTTGTGTAAGTTCTGGTGAGGAGAGCTTCACTCAAACATCAGAACCCTGTGGTCACCACACCTCACGACTGTGCACAGCGTCTCTCCAGGAGACTTAAA